GTGCGCGTCGAGTTGTCACTGCAGAAATGTCAGCTTGCATATCATTAAGTACCATAATTTTCGGTCTGCCTTAATCGTATTATGGCCATAATTAAATAATATAATACACGGGAAGATAAAAATCTGTGTATTTAATTGCAGTGATGAAATTCAGGAAGGTAACTTGCGTGTAGCTTTCGAAGTCGCCAAATATTAATCTGCACTCAGTTGTATGCCCTGATAAGCAGTGAGGCGTAATAAATGCAAGGTTGGTAACCCCCCAACACCTCTCATAAAGTAGTAGGCAGTTCAGAAGCAAACAGAGCAGAAGCATGTCCCATGCAGACATACAGTCCTGCGAGTCCTGCAAGCAACTTGCCTAAGTTTGTACATGATTAATTATTTCTTGCATACCAGCGAGAATGCATCAACGAAGACTTAGAAAGAATAATAGCAGTATTAGGCATATTAAATACTTAAAAGGACTGTAAGAAGTACTGAGTGTTTGCTAAGAATAATAAAATGTTCTCGATAATCCCCAGGTTCTGGATAGGTACAAAATGCCTATAAATTAGAATAATACACTTCAATATTTTGTTAAGTATAAAAGATAAAGCAACCACCTCCTTTATATAAAAATAACTTCTCTTTGGTCAAAATATTTGTACATATAACCATTAGTGGATGACTATTTATTGAATATCGTGAAGTAAAGTCTCATCATTTCGCCCGTTTTCAGTGTCTTCATTGATAAGTTGATAAATTGTGCTTCTTTTTGACCTTTAAATCAAAACTTTTAAAACAAGATATAACTAAACAACATTTACCGAAAAACCGAGATATGGATATTATTTCTTATGAAGATGGCCATGTAGGTCATATATAGAAATTCTTCAAAAAACAGCAAACCGTATTTTCGAGCATACAACATGCCTGCTAGACACCACGCATATTGCTATTCCTATGATAAATAAGGAAATATTTCATAATAGGTTGCCTCTTTAAAAAGTGTTTTAATGGAATATTTAGGTGGCGGACGTCTGTCTATATTAACTTTTTCGAAGGTAGCGTCACAGGCTAATTGGAGACTTTTGAGAATTTCTTTGAGTTACCTGAAGATAAACGATTAAATATTAAGGATTATTTCCCGCCTACGGAGATGAATTCCGCGACCCGTTATAAGCTTTCGAATGCGAAATACAGGCGCATATATGACCCTTTTCGGAATCACTTATTATTCTTCTGCCTGTTCCGTTTCTAAATAAAGCTGGAGCTGAACGTGTTTATTATAAAAAAGTATAATTCAATATAATTTTCCTACACGAAATCCTTCTTTAATTCCCTTCGCGGTAACATGTATGGCAAAGTTTGCTTTTGCGCCAGTTAAGTTTAAACAAAACGCGGCGAAAATTTTTGTTACTGCATTTTGTGCAAAAAAAGCTTCATAGATTAGCTGAGCGTGATTTTTAAAATTTATACAATTGCATGTGTCTGAATATAAATGTGATTTCTTAAACTTCGCTTCAGTTCCGTTTGATCAAGTTTGCACAAAATTTTCCAGTTCTGGAAGGGATTATTATTCCACCTTTTTTTACTAATTATGGGATTCTTCCAGAGCACAATATATATTAGTAAGTTTGGTAGGAAATTTCTTCAGTATAAACTTACTCGTGATTGGGCCAAAATGAGTGCCTATTCCTCCCAATATCTTTATGTTATTGGGCAGTTTTCTAAACCAAAGCCCTTTTTATTATTAAATCGCCTCACTTTATCAAAATAACCTGTCCAACTCTACGCCAAATCTCCCAGATAAATTACGTCATGAAAGATGTTTGCAGGACTCGCAGGACTGTATATAGCTCACTTATGAGCAGTTCCGTTTCGAAACAGCACTTGCGTAATACACGGAGCATGCAGGCTGCACGAAGAAGAATATACCCGAAAACACAGCGCTCAATGTGAAAAAGATGACGTGATCTCTGGGTCGGCACTTTTATTTTTCTGAGCTTCCAGTTCACAGATTCATGCCTGCTTCACGTATATACTCATGCCATCCTAACCTTTTTCCCTTGGGCGAGTCCCTTGAGTTATGGCCTGTGACCTTGACGTGGCAGCCTGCGTGCTTGGACGGGAAGAAGGCCGTCGTTTCTGACTGCCAGTATGGATGGCAAACTAACAGCGCGGTATGTCCACATGCCTCTGGATGGAGTTGGAGCCTGATACCCAGGCCTCCAGTAGTTCCCGTTCGTGTAATTAGCGTCGATGTCATTATCCGTGTGCCCGAGAAGGCGAATTTTCAGTCTTCTTCCAGTGTGTGGGTATCGATCTGGTACAATGGGTCGCCTCTCCGCATTGCTCTTTTTTGCTCCATTATTCTCTAGCTAAGCCGTCGCCCTGTCTGCTCTTTAAACTGAGAAGAACAATTGCCATATGTCACTTGATAATCGACGCTAGACTGTTTAGATACATCTAATGGGTTTTTATTTGTATGACTCATGAACGCATGGTGGCTGTCGGACGATGAGGA